AGAGGCTTTTTCAATTTTCCGCCTTCCGCCCTTAACTTTTCTGGGCCTTTTGCATTCCCCAGCAGAAAACGTAAACGTCTTTCTGGCTTTTGCAATTTGCTGATGTCATTGTAAATGGCCCATGCAGCCTCTATATGGGAGACAGTCGTTTTAAGATGGTTGCAGATGGGTAGGCGGGTGAGGGAAATGATATGTGAGCTTTCATTGCAGCTATTACTCGCTAATTTAATGTAGACATGGGAAATAAACCTGAAAGGCTCCACGCTTCACCATTGACTCATTACATCATCAGGTATAATATTAGCCGCGTAATGTGGTGGAGCTCTCAGTTTCTTTCATTGAGTAAACACGTACCCCTCATAAGGAGCCTTGTCTGTGCCTTCTAGGAGTTTGGAAGGCAGAGGAAACAGCATGAATGACTTTTGGTTAGCTTAATAGACGTTCATTGGCAAACCTTATGCCTTTTTTGCGATTTTTTTAGCTAATAGAATGCCTGTTGACTGGTTAGAAGTTTGACAATGGGCTTATGTCAACGATATCCCGGAAGACGTCTAGTATTCTCTGGTTTCCGTATTTTGCTGTTCCTATGACAAAGACAATTCCGTAATTTGGTCCTTCATGGCCCGAAGCTGGTGTAGAGGGTCAAATATTGGATTAGCTCAAACCTGGACCAGATAAACCCTTTAATCCTAGAACATCGGCTCATTGAAATCAAAAAAAATCATGAAACTCTAACTGGTATACCGGTTGGTCGAGGATCTTAAAGCGTGGGTTAAGTTGCCTTCACATTCACTGCGACTTTGAGTGACAGCTGAGTGCACGGTGCGTCATGAAAAAGGTCGCTGCAAAACGTTTTGCCCGTTTTCAACTTATCGCGAACTGATCGGCAAAAAAAGCCCTTGATTGAGAGGCTGCTTCGTGATGTCCGAGTATTAGGGGTGTCCTTGTCACTGGGTAGTCCGAATAAAATAAAGGGCTTGTGGCTTTACCCTTAAACGGTCCTTTTTCGGGATGCGGCACGCATTCTTTTTCCATTCGAAATCGTAGTGGCATATTGAATGCAACGTGGTCTATACAATGGCTTGCGGGCGCCGGTAATAAGATTACCGTTTAAATTCACTGTTTCAATCCTCCAAGTCGAATCTGAACCTAATTCACCACACAGAAGGCTGGTTGGCCTAGACGGAAACCGGTCAACCGTCGTACCGCCGAGTGGTGAACGTGCCACTTGCCAATTCGTCACCTCCAGCTCGCAGCATTATGAAAATTTGATGGGGTGCGAAGGCCTGCAACAAAAGAGCAACTGCAGACGAGATCTCGTGTGCCTAGCATGGCTCTCGAAAAAGGGATCGGTGAAAGGAAGGTTGAAAATTCCTCCTTCTGTAAAACGGAGGTTGTCACCAATAAGTGGACACGGTCGTGAAAAAAACCTCTATTTCAAATCAGTTGATCCCATGCTAGGCGAAGTAAGACGCCACACGTGACACTAATGGACTTTCTTGGTTAAACATCAATCTACTGGCCATAGATGATCTAAATGTTCTTTGGATCTTCGTTAGCGACAAAATCGCGAAGACAGAAGTGTAGACGGGAAGTCCCCAATTTTCGAAATACAAGGGAGCCGCTTTTTGCATTGACGCGAGAAGATCTGCGATTTTTTTCCGTGTGAACAGTTCATTTACAATTCGATCATTTACAAAAATCTATTGATTTATTTTCGTCTGGATCTTTGGAAAATGGAAACAAAGCATAGAACATTTGCTGAAAAACTGTCACACAAAAGAAAGACTACAGCATAACGTTCGATGGCGTTTAATTCCATGTTTTGAGTACTCAAAAGCCACGAAGCCATCTCTGGTCCCGTCGCCGTTGGAATTTTTGAAAACATTTCTGAAAAGAAAAATTTTGAGAAAATTTTAAATGCTCATGAACAAGTGGACCTCATGGACCATACGCACGTGGTCCACGAGTTTTTCTTCGAAAATTTGAAGTGAATGGAAGTAAAGAGATAGGTAAGGTTAAACTTTCAGATAGAAGGGTTATTGGCGCTTCGAAACTCTGGCTTTCTTTTCTTATTTTGGAAATTTTCTCTGATATAAACATCAG